ATAATAATAATGGAGAGGCAGCTGTTTTAGTCTGTTGGTCTGATTTTGCATAATAATGATGAATATTTTAAAGCTCCCTTATATATTTATAGTTTAAGCTCCCTTAAATTGTAGCATCATGATCATACAAGGATGCTGCCAAAAACAGTTGGTGCCCCATTGGGCCCCATTAATTAATGCCATGCTATTCACTGCTGCCTTCATAAATCATCACTTTTCAGATGGCCATCTGAAGGACAGTGGTACCTTGGATGTCATCCCCGAATTCCAGTCCCAACTATCCCACTGAATGCAATAAGCACGGCGGCTGCACATGGGAATGTTTGGAGGGATTCTCCAAAGCTGACACTCTGGTTTTCTAGGGTGTCTGAGGATGTGTGGTGAAAATCAGAATTTGGAAACTTTTCTACCATTCCTAGCTTCTTTCAGCAGTATAGCCACTGAGAGCATGGAGAATGTTGTAATCCATTTTCCAGGCTCTGTGGAGATGGGCCAGTCACATACTACTCAGGGATTTAAACCGCTACATACTCTTGTGATTTCTCTCAGTGCGGCCAACATGACTGGAGAGCAGGCAGATCTCTTTCTACTACATCAGACCTCTGGCTTCTAGCCCACCAGACACCACCATACCCTATCTGCCTGGACAACCTAATGACCTCTGAGACTTATAGAAGCAAAACTGGAAGGTAGGGCTGAGAATCAAATTGATTCTTTGATGAAGGGGGGATCAGAATGCCAAACCTGTTCTTCCGTCCAGCCGTGCCACAGATGACATTGATGTTCTCAAACTGGATGCTGTGCAGACGGCCTGTTTCAAAAGCACTGGGAATGACTGCTTCAACAGCAGCGAGGACTTCAGCGTGGTTCATCTCCTTTTCAGGCTAGAAGGCAAAGGGATCACTCAGCCATTGCCTACAATTGACTGCCACCCCCACCCACCAAGAAGTCCTGTCTTGTTTCTGAAGTAAATGTGATATGGGTACAATTGTGCCTTCTTTTGCAGACCCCTGATTGTGTGTATATATATATAAACCCATGGCATTTAAGCTGGTTGCTTGTAGGCGGTAAAAATAGAGGGAGCATTGAGGCAAAAGGGTCAAAAAGGGCAAAATAATGTGTGAAGCACAAAGAAGCCCACAAGACTGGCAATTAAATCTTCCTCCAGCAGTTGCATTAGGACAGCATTTGGCATCAAACATGAGGGCTATAGTTTGGGGTGATGCATCCAGGATTTCCATATACTGTACACAGCTTTGTATGCCAAGAGAAGGGAATGAGGGAGGGCCTCTGCATGGCCCCCATCTATTGCCTGGACCAGCTGCCTCCCTATGTGGCCTCTTAAAAGAGAAAACGGACAAGAGTGGGAACAGGAAAACAAGAACATTCAGGCACCTGTTGTTAAGGGGGTGCAGTCATTCATATAATGACTAGGTGCAACAGAAAGAGGCCATTCATAGTTCAAAAACCAGGCCTTGGTGGACTTCCCAGAAATAACTCAATTCAGCCTTCCTCAAAATGGCTGCCATTCAGGTGGGACTTTACAAAGGGGGCCCAGCTGGAATCTGGAAATCATAGAAATTCCCTCAGAGCTGGCCATGGTAAACTATTCCTTAAACATCCCACATGCCTTTAAAATCCTGTTAAAATCTAAGCAACGTTACAGCATGTAACAATACAACAACCACAGGAAAATCAGCAGGCATCGAGATTACCTGGCCACAATTTTCCCTAGAGAGGTGAGGTTGATTTATTTTAATTTCCATTTAAATTGTGGTCATTATTTCCAAATGTGTACCTATGTGTATGAATTAGCATAAGCACATCTGAGGTAAATCTGATTCCTTTTTTTAAAAAAGCAACCTCTGTTCTTGTTTTACATGATATCTAAAGTGGCCACCCCAGGAGGGAACAAACAGCAGGCAATGGACATCAGTTTGCATCAAGGTTTACTTTTCTGGACTACGAGTCCCACAATCCCCCAAGCAGTATGGCTGACTAAGAAACTGGGAGATGTAGAATATAATATTATCAAGTTCTGCTTTGAGTGACCGAGTGAGAGTGGGGAGAAGGGAGGCTGGCATTGAAACTATGGTATAGCAGGGACCAAAACTGATGCTCAGCACCCTCAGGCAGCTGCAGGACATAACATTAATCTATGTCTGGGGCCCTGCTTTAAACTTGTAGCCTGTATTCTGGGGGTTAATTTCCCATCAAGCCCCTGATGCAGTCTTACTCCATGGCATTGTGGGAAATTTAAATGGATCCCCAACCTTTGGGACATCAACCAGCAGGGACGAGGGTCCACCAGAGGAAGCATTCCCCAGGATACTTCTAAACTGGGAATTAAATGGGAATATATCTCCCCAGAGTCCACCTGCTCCCACTGAAACAAGGCTGACCGGGCTCTCCAGACAGAGACAGAGGGGCCTCGCTGCTGGTGGCCGAGGGAACTTGCGAATACACGGCATTTCCATGTCCAGGGCTTCATATTCAGCAATTATCCGCTTCAAATACTGGCGCCTAGGGGGGGAAAAAGGCTCATATTATTTTGCCACTTTGAGATTATGGACAGTGCTGGGATTTAGGAGATCCACTTTCCTCTCAGCCATGAAACTCGCTCCATGACCTGATGCTGCTGCCAGTTGCCTTCTGTCGGCCTGAACTACCTGAGAGGGTTGGTATGAGAGCAAAAAGAAGAGGAGGAGAGCGACAACACCATCTGATCAAAGAACAGCAGAGATATGGGTAATCATTAATAAGGAAACATCAGGAACTAGAGTGTAGAATTAAGCACTGATAAAGGGATGCTAGAAGTAACGTTCTCAAAAGATCAGGGATTATTATCAGTTTTTTAAAACCTGTTTGTCTGACACTACAGTTGTGTTGTAACTTTATATACAGCATCAAGTGATTGGTGGGGAAGGAGAAATGAAATAGGGGTTGTGAAGAAGTGCAAAATAGGTAAAAGGACGACACAGTGAGAAATGTGGTTCAAATGTAAAGCTCAGGACCTTGTGGCTTTTGCAAAAATAGTGATTGTGAATGCTAGGGGCAAAATGCAAAATACAGTAGGACTGTGGTATCCTCTTGGGGGGTCAGTTCCCAGCCCCCTCCCCAATGGATGCTAGAAAGCACAGATATAGAAACCCTATGTACAGCATAGACTCTGGTTCCCCCTCAAGGCCAGTTCTGGTAATACACTTTGGAAATGTGTCTGGGTTTTTTATTTCATATTTTCAGGCAGCAGATAAGTGAAACCATGGGTACCGATCCCGTTGATATGGTGGACCTACTGTACTCAATCTTGTAATGCTTTCACAAAAACCTGTGGTGCAGCCACTTTTGGAATGTGTCCAAAAGGATAAATCAGAGCTAGAAAATGTTCAAAAACTGGTTAGCAGGATGTTGAGTTATATAGGCCTCTGCACTGAGTCATGGGGCTCCCATATACATCCCCATATATCAAAAACAAATCAGCAGCCATAAAAACTGTTACTAGTTATGCCTTGTCAGGAAGATTTCTTGTTAATAGCCCAGGATGGTTGGTTTTCTTAATGGTACCTAATGTTGGGGAGATAATGGGCAATGTCAACATCAGTTACTGAGAAATATAAGCAGATGGGTGCTGTTGTGCTTCCATCTATTTAGATCTAAGGGCAGCCAGAACAAAGAAGCAAAGCAGACTTGAGCTGTTGCCTGGGAAGATCACAGTGTTTCTGGATAGCCACAAAGGCTGGTCGATGAGAATCCCTTGGAGAAATCATGATGGGACTAAGAATCTCAGAATTAAAAATATGCCTGCTTGTCAGCTAGTGCTAGAAACTATGCAGCATTGCAGTTGGTTAGTATCTGGATGAGAGACTACCAGAATATACCAGGGATATCCAGAGAGCACTGGAAAGAATCCCAGGAGAGCTGCTGGTGGTCATCAGTGAACAACGCTGGCCTTTGTTGTTGTCATGTGCCATCAAATTGGCTCCAACCTATGGCAACTTTATGAATGAGTGACCTCTATAATGTACTATCAATAACATCCCTGTGCAGCTCTAATGTTGGGCCAGATGGGAGAGTGGTATGACTCAGTAGAAGACTGTGAGTACATGACCAAATATCGTGGGATTTGCTCTGGTTATAAAACAAGTGAATTTGAAGTATTTTTTACTGACCACATGATGCATAAGCTGATTTGAATTGGTCCAGCTCTTTTTTTGCTCCAAAACCAGCTTTCTTTTCTGCCACCGGGGGGGATTTTAGTTTTTTTTTTGTTTTTTTAACATTTTTTGCTTTGGCTGTGTGTTTTCCTAATGTACCGATGGAATTATTCAGCATTTAGGATGGGTGTTGGGTATACAAAAAAAAAAAAAAAAAAAACAGGGGAGGGGGTGTCTGAAGGTGATGTATCTGTGATGTAGGAAGTTGGGGCATGATGTTCAAGCATGGGGGCATGCAAAAGCAAAGCACTGTGATTTTAGTGTGCAGGATCAGATTTGAATCTTGCTGAGCACAGTGTGCTTTAGATCAGTGGTTCTTAACCTTGGGTTACTCAGGTGTTTTTGGACTGTGACTCCCAGAAGCCTTCACCAGCAGCTGTGCTGGCTGGGGTTTCTGGGAGTTGCAGTTCAAAAACACCTGAGCAACCCAAGGTTAAGAACCACTGCTTTAGATCACTGGTTCTTAACCTTGGGTTACTCAGGAGTTTTGGACTGCAACTCTCAGAAGCCTTCACCACCAGCTGTCCTGACTGGGGTTTCTGGGAGTTGCAGTTCAAAAGCATCCGAGTAACAAAGGTTAAGAACCACTTCTTTAGATCATGCAGGGAAACCCTTTTGTTGTGGAGCAAAAGCTTAGTATTCTTAATATCTTAACTGACAGGTATGAAAGTGGACTTCGAAAGTTTATAAGTTTATCATGTCAATAATTTAAAACCATATGTTACCAGAGATGAAGTAATTCCTGCACACCTTACTTGAAAGTAAGGGGAAAGACTAACAGATAGAAAGTAGAAGGTAGAAATCTATGTTATGGAATCATTCTGATGTGTGAATTATTATATATTTTGCAAAATTATTGTTCAGACTTTTGATGTTTTGTATTCTTAGACTGTTAAGTAGCTTTCCATGTTATTTTTCTATAGACAAGTTTTTGAGAAATGTAGTAACTGGAAGCTTTAAATGAGAAAGCAGCTTCACAGGAAACCATAAAAGGGTCAGCAGAGGCAGAACCAAAGGAAGGAAGAACTGGCAGAGGTGGAACCAGAGGAAGGAAGGAAAAAAGAAGAGGCAGTGGTCTGGAATGCAACTCGCATTGCATCCATTATGAAGCTTGAACTCTTGAATCAATCTGTGGTCCCTGTTTGAACACTGGTTGTGATCTCAAATGTAATACAGGCTGCAAATCATAACCATTTGTCTTTCTAGGGCCCTGAGACAGGTTCCTTAGTTCCTCTGTCCTCATTTAGACATTATTGCTACATATCATTGACAAGTGTGATTACTCTATACCTGCAACTCTGAAGATGCTTAATTGCATCTAATTTTGGATGCTAAGCAAGATCTGGCTTGGTTAGTATTTGGATGAGAAATCACCAAAGTCTCCAACTGAGGCAAGGAAAGAATCTTCTCTGGAACTCTGGAGGGCTGCTGCTAGGCATAGCAGACAGTAATGGAATAAGCAGATCAATAGTCTGCATGAGTGTAAAGTAGAGATGGGGATGTAAAGTGGTTTCCTATGCTATTTTGTAACTGCCCCAGAATTCTTTGTAGTCAGGGGCACAGCAAGGTCCTTTTAAAGCAATAGTCTCCCAATGAGGGTTACTTTTTAATTGCTAATGCATCCAGAGACTGAACCCCTTTAAGTGATAATGAGCATCACTTGGAGGGTCAGGCTGTTGGGGGGACTAGTCAAGACAGCAATATAATCTATCCAGTATAATAAGCACTGATCATCTCAATAACACAGATGGGAAGGTGTGGCTGCAGTTGTTGAAAGTGACTGGGCGCAACTCAGCTTACCGGGCTGAGAGATCTTACCGGGCTAAGATGCATGTCTTTGAATGGGGTAGAGTAATGGGAAGGTGTGGTTGCATTTGTTGAAAGTGACTGGGTGCAACTCAGCTTACACTTAATAAGATGCATGTCTTTGAATGGGGTAGAGTAGAAGTAGGGCGTCCTTGGGGGTTTTAGATGATCTTTTACCTGCTGTAGCTTGTGTTGTCCTTCCTTCAACCTTAAATTACTATTCTTACGGTTGCTGCTGTCCCTTCCTTTGCACACCTTTCTCTTGTCTTCCAAGAAGGAGACATTTGTGCCTTTGCTCCCTGGACCTCTGTTGGCCATCAGGGAAATTGACTGCTGGATTAGAGAGACTTTGGGGGTTGTGTGTGTGGGCTCATATGGAATATTTAGGGAGGCTTCCTAAAAACAGATGGAGAGGAGGTAAGGACCATCACCCATCATTTGCCAGCTGAGTCAGGTACCTCCCTCTGCCTAATCACAAGGCACCAGCCCTTTTAGCAAGGAAATTCATTTACATAGTAACACTCACGAAGTTTTATGTGGAGGAGGACTAGGCTGTTCCAGTTCAAGGCAAAGAGTAGAGTTTACTCCATCACTCTCAGGTTCCAGCACACGTAGAGCTGAAGGTGAGGAAGAATCAAGATGATAACTGCATAAACAAGGATGGCAAATTGATAAGAACTCAAGGGGAGTCATGCTAGATCAATGCCATTCCATCTCCTGCATGTCAGCCCTTCACGGATGTCACCTAAAGCATTTTGCTGCCAGAGGCAAAAATGCCTCCTACACTCCTTGCCTTGAGTTGTTATATAAAAGCCATCTTCAGATATCCGAAGGGTTGTCACACGGAACAACCCTTCACGTAGCTTGTCTTCCACTGCCCTAGAAGGCAGGGTTCAGACAATGGATTCAAAATACTGTACAAGAAAGGAGAATGTTTATGAAACAGTAAAAACTTTGCAATGTTAGGGCATGTTCAACAGTGGAGAGAGTAATTCAGAAAGTTGCAGATGCTCTTTCATTGCAGATCTTCAAACAGAGTTTGGATGGCTGTCTTTCAAGAGTGGTCTAAACCTAGTATAAGAGGGCTGGCTGGTCCAAATGACCATAGCCCCCACTTTCCGGTCTAAAATAATGCAATTCTACGTGCAGACAGACCGGTGACTCTTACTTCAATACTGACAATGGTATCCTTCAGCACCCCTGAAGGTAGCAAAGCAGCTTAAGGAGTGTGGAGAAGGATAGGTGGCTCACAGCCTTCTACTTCCTAACACTTTGCCATCATCACTTCACTCCCACTTTCAGGAATCATCTATCTGTGGCAGCAGCTTCACACTACCTAACAACAGGACTGCCTCTGCCCCTTCAAACATTTAAAGGCAGGCACCATGTTGCTGCTTAGTCTCAGGTGACTATAAAGGGATCCTCTCCAGTTGTTTTTCCTGAGCATCCAGACCACCCTTCTCTCTCAGAGGGCAGCGGTATTTGTACCAAACACCCTGCCCTGTAGTCCATCTCATCAGCCTGCTACCTTCAGGTTCTGAAATTCCAGGAGACATTGTTGGAGTTAGCTGGTTCCTTTAGAAGAAATATAAGGGATGTGGTGGTGCTGCGGGCTAAACCGCAGAAGCTTGTGCTGCAGGGTCAGAAGATCAAGCCGTCGTAAGATTGAATCCACATGATGGAGTGAGTGCCCATCGCTTGTCCCAGCTCCCGCCAACCTAGCGGTTCGAAAGCATGCAAATGTGAGTAGATAAATAGGGACCACCTCGGTGGGAAGGCAACAGCTTTCCGTGTCTAAGTCGCACTGCCCATGTGACCACGGAAGATTGTCTTCGGACAAACGCTGGCTCTACGGCTTGGAAACGGGGATGAGCACCGCCCTCTAGAGTCGAACATGACTGGACAAAAATTGTCAAGGGGAACCTTTACCTTTACCTTTTAGAAGAAATGGAGGGGACTTCCCTTTGACCTTTGCTTCAGGCAGCAAAAAGCCTTGTGCAAGCACTGCTGTCATGGACCAACTGAGCGCATAGAAACCTTGCTATTTAGACAGCATGCTTCTACATTTTGCCTTGCCTTGAAGGGCAGTACTAAAGGCAGAGCTTGAGAAATTGGCTCTTTGGGGATCATAACTCCCAGACTCCCTCTGGCAACATGTTCAATTGGAGCTGCAGGCTTTTTATTTAAAGGTCACTCTGGATTGCAGAGGGGGTTCAAGTCTCAGTCGAGTTCTCCCAGCCTTCTGCCTCACTGGTCATGCTACCTCCCACCATCACCTCCACTCCACCAGCTTTAGTCTTCTTTGTTGCATTTATGTTTTTCTTCTGGCCTAGATTCAAACTGAAGCATGTTCAGAGGCTAGACAATGTATATTAAAAGCTAGCATTGGCAGCAGCAACATCTTCTTGTAGGATGCAACGGGATAAAAGATGAGGAGAAAAGCAAGGCGAAGATGCCTGACTGAAACTCCTAGTCACACAAATTCAGAATAAGGTAGTGTTTCTCAACCTTGGGTCCCCAGATCTTGTACTAAAACTCCCAGAAGCCTTTGCCACTAACTGTGTTGGCTAGTATTTTGGGGAGTTGTAGTCTAAGAACATCTGGGGATGCAAGGTTGGTGACCCACTGGACTAGGGTGATTGTCATGTGGCAGCTATTGGTCCTTACCTGGATCCCACTGGCTGCTAGAAGCAGAGCGTGGTTTAGGCCCTTCGTTCTCATCTTCCTGCATCCCTGAGGCAAGAAAAAAGAGGCAGTGGGTACAATTGCTTTGTAAAATCTAAAATACCCCCCTTCCCTTTCTAATCCCAGAAGATTCCTTGTTTTTTTTTTTACACAGATCTCATACACCACATTTTTGGATATTTCTGATGCAATGGTGTCATAGTAACTCTTGGATTGCAGGTGGCACTCATACCTCAAGGAGAGTCCAAAAACATGCAGGCAACTGTGTTGATTCCTTGTTTTTAAAAACACAATTCCAGTAATTTTCTCCTCTGCCAGGAGCAGATTTTTTGTCAAACAAGTGTTCACTCAATCCCAATATCTCATAAAATACTTATCTAATAACAGAAAGCACTCACAACAATTTCTGTGGAGAAAATGCCTCCCTATCCAAACTGACAGCTGCAAGGATTGCAGCTAAGTAAATCTTGGCTAAAACAAGACAGTTTGTGATGACATGATCTCTGCTATTAATGAAAACATTTCAGGCCAGATATCTAGTTTTGGGGACAGGTGTCAACGCCTGGAATAGCTTCTACAAAATGGAATCTAAAATCCAGAGTGAGCTCATTTTCCCCATGAAATCAGCTTCCACTCTTTTCAGTATACCATTCCTGCTAGCCTTTCCCCTCAGTCTATACAACTGCTTTTATAAGATGAAATAACTGATATACCACATACAGTAGTGGCAGTACTGCCCATTAGACTAGTAAGGTAGAATGGCTAATGGATGCAAAGCCAAAATTAACAGAATAGGGGGCTAACATATTCCAGTTTTGCTCCCTCTTTTGAAATTCAGCTATTTAACATTCACTAATCTAAACGAACTGAAGAATAATTTGTTGGTTCTGTAGGTTTCTACACTACTATTATACTAGATTCTCTGCTTGGGGAAAAAGTGATTAACTGTCTTACTCAAGTCTTGCATACTCAACGCTGTGACTTCCTTTACTGATTCAATTCATCTTATCTTATGTCTTACTCTTTTCCTTCTGACTTCTACTTTTCTTAGCATTATTGTCTTCTCCATGAGTCTTATCTTCTAATGATATAACCAAAGTAGGCTAGCCTCAATTTAGTCATTTTAACTTCTGACGAGATTTCAGGCTTGATTTACTCTAGGACCTCCGTATTTGTCATTCAGGCAATCTGCAGTATCCATAAAGCTCTCTTCCAACACCACATTTCAAATGAATAGATTTTTCCCTGTCTGTTTTATTTTCTGTCTGGCTTTCCCATCCATGCATTCTAGTCATGAATATCACAGTCAAGAATATCCTGGCCTTGGTTCCCAGTGCAAATTAAGAAGGATGCTCCCCATTTCCCCTGTCTTCTTATTTCATTGGTGTTATGCAATTTTTCATAGGCAAGCATGCTGTTTGCAGGTGGAACTCACTGCCACAAGTTGTGGAGCTAGCAGAAAGCTTCAACAATGCTAACGTTTGTGAAGGCAGTGTGCCAGTGAGGACCAGTCACTGAGGGAACCACAAGAAAAGATGACTGTCGCTTTCATGGCCCTGACTATGGTCTTCCTATAGGCAATAGGTTGATGACTGTGAGGAACTGGATGGCATTCTGGGGAAAAACTTTATACTAAGCAAACAGGGTTCTTCTTAACGTTGCTTAGCTTTATCCTCATCAAACCTCCCCTGTGTGATTGGTAAATACCACTTGCACAAGGGAAACTGAGACAGACAGGCAGTAACTCAGGGGATAGGAAGTCACAGCATCCTCAGGTACCTGAATCCTCCTTCCTATTCAAAGGTTGGAGTATTCATGCTGGTGGCAGAGTTATAGTGTTGTGAGTCTCCCACATTCTAGAAAGCCACCCATGGAATTATGTGGAAACTGGCAATGAAGCTATCCCTGATCCACATGATAAATACTTCCGAATATTCTTTGATGGGTGGGAGGAAGATCTATGGTCCAAAAAGAGGGTCATTTTGTGGGTCGAAAGACACAGCTACACAGCTTGTTTTTTATTCCTGACATATTTCAACAGCTGAGAAAAAATATCTTTCTATTTACTTCCAACCCATGTTAAGAAACTGCTCAAAATTCCTTCCTAATGGCACCTAATCCCATTCAAACAAGTTGCTCTCCTCCATTTAATGTACATGTCAAGTCTTTATCTGATGTTGGTTACAGTAGGTTACAGTACAGAGCTCAAAAAGTTGCCGTTTAAAAATACAACTCCCAAAATTCGCAAGCCCAACAAGGTCACTCAAATCATACGGGAGACACAGCTATACCCCCATAAAAACAAATAGGTTTTTTTGCCTCTGTTTTAGATGGATACGGATATCTACTCCGGATCCTTGGAACAGAAGGACCACGTTAAAAGAGAAACATTACAATAAATTACATATATTTACTGCCATAGGTCAAAGACTTGAATCCTGGGGTGTGTATTAAAGGGACCCTGAGAGTGTTCATCCTTGAATTGTTTCATTTATAAAACGGATTACTAATTGTTTTTAATTAATTAAATTATCTTTGTCACCTGCAGTATCATCAGTTCACTCACTAGGTGGCAGACACAGGTCTCATCAGGAATAAGAGGTTTGTTTAAGCAGGGATTTCTTCAAAAACAGGAAACCTCAAGCTTTAGTTCTTGCAGTTGATTTCAGGTGGGCAGCCTATTTACAGTTTCATTTCTGATGTGCCAGGGTGACTTTGTTTCTGCTGAAGCAAAAAAAGAGATCCCTCTTTTGGTTTAATCCAGTTGCCTAGTAAACCTTGCTTGTTCCTAAAAATATTGGCCACTTGGTTGGTTTTGCTGTATTGTGCTGTTGGCTGGATTTTGTCTAAATTCTAGCCATGCTACATTATATACATTTTAATTGCCTGGATTCCCAGGCTTCAGTTGCAAAAGAGAGGAAGTGTATCTGCACCAAATAATGAACACTTTTAGACCATTTCAGTCTTCATGGCTCCATCCCAAGGAATCTTGGGATTAGGACTTTGATGAGACATTTAGAAGATATGAAGGTACCTTGAGAAGAGAGGGAGTGAGAGATTAGTTTAATTCTGTAGTGTAGACAGAGACTCAGAGTAAATGTAGCTCAGGACAGTGGACTACAACTTCCTAGGAGGAAGTCAATTCAATGCTAATTAGCCCACCAGCTGGCTGGATAGCTCAGTGGTTTAGGCATCTGACTGCAGAGCCAGAAGTTGGGAGTTCGATTTCCTACTGTGCCTCCAGAGCCAGACTATGTAGCCTTGGGCAAGCTGCACTGTCCGGAGGCATCTCCAGAAGATGGAACGGCAAACCATATCTGTGTATTTTTTGCCTGGAAAAGGTCACCATCAGTCAGAATTGACTTGAAAGCACATGGTTATTAGTGTACAGTATTAAGTACCTCAACAAACTATAAACTCCATGTTGCTTGTATAATAGAGTCATAAGAATTGAAGTGATATGAAGCTGATGCAGCTGTCAATATACCTGACTTCTGTAGGATGAAACAAAAGTTTCAGTCACTAGTCTGCCCTATTGTTTTACAAGAGACTGCATTTCAGTGCCTTTAGTCAAAGAGTGAAGTCAAAAGTTGTGATTGACAACGAAGATTAAAAACAGAAGAGTGATCCACAGATCTCTGCAGTGTTATGGACACAAATCCTGACTAGCAAACAATGCTAAATGCCATTGCTATTACAGGATTAAAGTAACAGCCTACAACTGTGAATGGATGCTATATTCCCTTATCTATGGGTACACAGCATTTGATTCAGTAGTACTTTCTTCTAAGTAAACTTGTACAGGCTTGCACTATTCACTGGCTTTTTGAAAGGAAATAAATTTATGTGAAAGTGCATGCTCATATGCTCATAAATCCTTTCATGGCCTGATTTATGATTTGTGTAATGAGCAAATAATGTGCATAATTTTCAAGTGTGGCTATCTGGATTTGGAGAACCAGAGTATGGCAACCCTTCAGAAGAGATATTGGCTGGTGCCTAGTAAGAGCAGACTGAAGAGGCAGTAGAAGGAAAGGCTGAAGGGGCACAGAGATAGATGGAGAGAGAAAGACAAAAGAAAGAGAGAGGGGGGAGGAGGAGGAGAACACTGTCATGCCAGTATCAACCCAGCCAAAGCTGGTGTAAGTTAAATGAGTACCAGGATAGAGAGAAAGACCACTATAAATGGGCAGATGAGCAGAATAGGAAAGGTATTGGGACAGTGTAAACAGATAGTCAGGGTAAATGCAGTTCAGGACAGTGGACTCCAACTTTCTAGCAAAACTGCATACATTTGCTAGCATACAATAAAGTCTTCCCTCCCATGTCATATTCCAGCGCAGAAGGTAGGTCAGACACCACTAGTAGATCTCTACACTTGATTAACATTGGCAAAAACGAAAAGCCTATTTCTCCTAAATTAGGCTGCCTAAAACTCATGGGTGGGACCAGGAGAGTTTTGTTCTGTGATCAGAGGCACAGTGCTTCACATACACCATCTTGCATCACAATTTTGTACTTGGGTCTTTAGTTCCAGTACATTGCCCTTCCTTGCTCTTGAACTCATTGAGTCTTCCAGCGCAAGCTGCTCAGGATACATAAGACAGGCCTGCCGGAGAACTTGTCAACATGCTTTAGCCAGCAAAGTTATCAGTGAGAGATCATGAGAACTGTGATCCAACATCTAAAGGGCTGCACCATCCATAGGCCTGACTTAAACCATAAACATTCATTCTTTTAGAAAACTCCTTTTCCTTCATCATTTCCTCCAGTACCATCATCCACCACTCCAAAATTTCCACAGCACCAGCTTCCCTGCTGCCAGCTAACCTTAGCTCTTCTGGTCTCAGTACTTTCAGCCTCAACCAAGATCAACTGCAGATATTCAAATCCAGGATTCCAGAACTCTTAACTTCACAATTCTGAGTTTGCCTGCAGTACCATAAAAAAATCCAGTTTCATCTTCCATGTGACAGCCTGGAAGCCAAAGAACACACTAGATCTCCAAACGGCCATTGGAATATACTGATTAAAATTTTTTTGTCAGTATAGTGGTTTTTAAGAACCTTCATTTTAAAAAGCCCTATTCTTGCTCTCCAAAATGCATTGTCCTTCCAAGCAGCCACTCTGTACTGAGAGTCTGTTGAAGTCATTAAAGATCAGTGTGGTATAGCTGGTCAGAGTGTAGGACTAGGATGTAGGAGACTTGGATTCAAATGTCTACAGTACTTGGTCATGAAATTCACTGAGTTAGCCTGAGGAATCATACATTTTCAACTTGGCCTAACTCGCAGGATTGTTGTGAGGATACAGTGAGAACTTGAGCGCATTGGAAAAAAGCCTGTAAATGTAACAGGAGAGAGGAACTCCCTTATACGTTAGCAAATGAAAGATGACCAGCCTCAAGTATTGCCAAAGAGACCCAGGATCTTGATAGGTTTAATTAGCTAAGGGTTGGTTTGATTATTTTAAAAGCAACTGATAATTTCTCAGTGTCTCACTGTTTGGCTCTTTAATAAATTGGATTAAATTGGAAATGGAGTTGAATTACTCTCTTGCCTAGTTTGAGAGCTGGCCACACAGTCACTGGGTTGGTAAGATTAATAATAATTATGTGCCTTCAAGTTGATTTTGACTTGTGGCTACCTTTCCAGAGTTTCCTAGTTATAGAATACTCAAAAGTGATTTCTCATTCCCTTCTGGATTACTCTGTGACTGTGTCCAAGAGCAAGTCTATTTAAGTCTCTCCAGGTTGAGCTGGAATGACGTCTGTCTAGAGCCCTAGAGAGTGGCTGCAACTCAATAAACAAAGAATAAGCAGCACAGTACAAGGCAACTACCTAAAGGCTTTTGTCTGCCCACAAGAAAGCTATCCGAATCATAGTGTTTCCCATTCTATTTGTTCCCAGGACCTCATCTTCAGGAGGATGCAAATGAGACCTACAGTAAAATGTTGCAGCATGGAATACATCAGCTATCAGTTCCATCCACCTTTTTTTCAAGACACTGCGATCCATTCCCTCCCCCACCCAGTATCCCCACCTCACAAGAGTCAGCTTTCCATAACCAAGGATTATGTTGTTTCCTCATTAAACTGTTTTAAAGTCCCCCCACTCCAACACCCTTTAGATTTTTCCTTCCTTACAATTCTTTTTTATATTCTGCATACCATGGGGTTTCTATTACGTGCTGATACATCCTACTTGTGCATGCATGGTGCCATTTTGGCTAGAGAATGAGTTTGCTATTAGTATATATTATAGGGTTGCTTCCGTACATGAAGGTTCCATTAGTGGTCATGTCTCACCGGCATGATTGATTAGACCCTTCCATGAATTCTTTTGCAAAAACATCAGAGCTAATGGCCTCCTCCACCTTTTGCAGCAGCACAAAAAGTACTGTTAATAACCTGTGCCATAACTAAGCCAGCACTGAACCTTTTTGCCTGATGGCTTCGTTGCATTTTAGCTTCATGAGACAAAAAATCGGGAGGGTGAGGAGGGAACTGATCTCGGAATAAAAGTTGAGGTCTTGCCTGTAGCCTAGCATGTGGGATGTGCCTTTAGATAACAAAGAGGTGGGCAACTTGTGAGCTTCCAGACATTCTTGGGTTGCAGACCCCACAGGAGCACAACCAGGTACATTGGGCTCTCGAAGCAGAAATAGAACTTGGGTCACAAAGATGACATGGGGAATGCTAGGAACTAGAGTTGACAAAGTAACTTTTCCAGATTGGATCTGAGAAGGGAGACATGATTTGGGCACAGAGTAAAACTTGGAACCCTTTTTCAGCCAAAGGCAATGGAACTAAAGGACTACATCCTTCCCTGGATGAATCAAGCCTACACAAATGGATGGCACTGTTTCACCCTTAAGCAAGCAACAGATCCACCTATCAATAAAGTATCATTTGCTGGAAGCAGAGTCTTTCTGCACTGCCAAGTCTTGTCTCTCATCCCTCTGTTTCTGAGCCAAGGCATAGATAAAAATGAAGCTGCACAAGGGTGTATCTGTGGATAGGTGTTCAATGTACACTGAAATAAATGCAACTGTTTCCCTTGTGTCTCCTTCCCAGGGCTGAAACTAATTCAGCCACGATTCTCCATCTTTTGGTGTGTTTTCTGTAGGCTTTGCTATGGTGCAATAAATAAAGGTAGCCTTCAATGCAGAGCTTTTCAGTAATGAGATACAAGTGATGCAGTTGCCTATTACCTATCTGTAACTACTTGTTTTTGAGGGTAGCATGTTTCCAGAGTAACATAACCAGCAGTTATGAAGCCATGGTTTTTACAATAATGACCAATGTTTCCTAGTATCTTTGAAATTTTAATTTTCCAGTATTTTAAAGCATTTTAAGAGCTCTTTGTTGGAAGTTTTTGAGTTTTGTGCCATTGTCCAGACCTAGGTCCTAAACGGCATAAGTCTTAAGCAGCAAGAGAAATGTTTATGTTTTTAAATTTTGTATTAACCTTGAGATGCAGTATCAGAACTGACCACTAGTGGGAAATAGAGATCATGTTTCTTTTTCTTGTGAAGTGGCACGGAAAAAGCAACACATTGCTTAAAATATGAAGCTGATCACTTCTGAGCAACAGTAATAATCAGATTACAGCCCAGCATAATGACTGATGCAAAAAGAAACTCTTCAGAAATAACATACCAAGTACTGTTGGTGTACTTTGAGTAGTGTGTAGTGTGGAATTAAGACAGAGAGTCAAAGCACTAGGACTTCTCAGTTAGCAGGAACATTATATTATTTGCTGGTACTGTAGCTCTCCCTGTTTCCTCGGAGCCTATGAGCAAACCTCAGAGAATTTAAGGGGGAATTTTTTTTCATCTACATTATTTTGTTGTGAGTGATTCTTTTTGTAACACAGAGTACTGTGGTTTGCTTCCTCTTGAATGAGCAATTAGGATCCATTAGCTTTACGAAACACCTGCTCCTGGTGGAAATGAAAACTGCTAAAACTGGTTTATTGCTATAGATCAGTACAACTGCCTGCCGTCTTGCAAGACAGGCAGTCTGTGTCAGTGAAGCTGGGCATGCTGAGAAATAAGAGCATATTTCTTTCCTTGTCTACTGTCCAATTAGATTTATGGTCAATCTGAATAAACAAGCAGGTTCTTACTCAGGTTCTTACTCAGAAGGTTCACAATATTCGGGGGGAGGGCCAATAAAGCTGTGAGTGATCCAAGGCAAGTCCCTTTCATAGTTTCAGGACACAGTATCACAAAAAGTCCTGGGAATCTTTCCCAGAACCCCACAAAATCAGTGGTACAGAGATATACCTGGTCTTAATTATCTTACACGAGGGAGGGGGTTGGTTCTGTAGAATGTAGATGACAGTGAAAACTACTTCACTGATTTCAGATGGCTTTGTGCCATCAGGTGGGAGCTATTTCAACACTAATGGGTATTACTTGGAGGAGAAAACTATCAAGGGCTGCAAAGCATGACGGCTATATATTCCCTGCAGTATCAGAGGCAGTATGTTTCTGAATACAAACTACAAGTCAACATGCACTCGACAGAGATGCTCTTGCGCTCACATCATGTTTTTCCAGGGTTACCATTAGCCACTGTGAGGACAGGATGCTGGATTAGAGATCCTTTTTGTCTGATCCAGTCCTTTTCTGTTATGTGCTTCTCCAGCTTCAATATGTAGCAAGTCAGCCTTGTGTTTGCCCTGCCCCAATCCACCTTCCCCTTCTAAATCCCTGAACCTCTCTCCCAGAGTTCTTTCCTGGCAAGGTTGCAAGAGCTTGTATTCTCAGACACGTGCAGTTTTCATCATGCCTCTGTCCACTGACCCATGATGTCTGTACATGACTTTACAGTGGTGCCTCGCTAGACAGTTCCCCCACATGACAGTTTTTGCACTAGACATTGACTTTTTGCGATCGCTATAGCAATTCGCAAAACAGTGCTTCCTATGGGGGAATTTCGCTGGACAATGTTTGGTCCCTGCTTCGCAAACCGATTTTCGCTAGACGACAATTTTGACAGCTTCCTCCGCGCTCGCAAAACAGGGGTTTTCAGGACCTAAGCTTCGCAAGACTGCGATTTAAACAGCTGATTGGTGGTTCGCAAAGCGGTTTTCCTATGGCCGATCTTCGCTAGACGACGATTCTTCCCCACTGGAATGCATTAAACAAGTTTCAATGCATTCCAATAGGGAAATGCTTTTCGCTAGACAATGATTTCGCTAAACAGCGATTTCAGTGGAACGGATTATCATCGAGGCACCACTGTATGCACATGACCAGGCCATAACTAGGGCAGGGCAACTAGCGCTTTGTCCCAGGGCACCAAAATAGAGATGGGACTGAAATCTAGGGATGAATCTATTGATGAATGTTAGGAATGTCCCAGTGCGATTCATTTTCCTTTCTTGAAAGAACAAGCTTTCTTTTGATGCAGTGCAGTGATCAAACTGCAGTACTACTATCAAACCTCTGCTCATGGCCTAAGTTTGATCCTAACTGGTTCAGGTAACTGACTCACTGGTCAGGTAACCATCATTCCAGGGGCAGTAAAATGAGTACCCAGCTTGCTGGGCGGGGCCAAGTTTTCTTTGCATAATTATGTTGTAAAACCACCCAGAGAGTGCTCTAGCATAACTCTAGTTATACACCACATGGGGTGGTGTATAACTCAAAACAACAGTTTTCAGGGAAACCACATGTCCTTCATTTTATCAGGAGAGGGGGTTTCATGCCTGTGTCTGAGAGTGAAGCGGGTGGGAGACAGTGCGGCTTGTCACAGGTGCCAAAACTGGTAGTTTCAACTCTGGCATGTGGGGGAAATGTGTCCTACCAGTCATTGTTGAATTGAAGTCACTCCCCCAT